ATCCTATCATTGTAGATAGGCTATCATTGTAATTGTTACAGACTCTGAAAGCATGTTGAAAAAGGTGAAGACAGGGATGCTTCGAGCAAAGTGGCAAGCTTCACTGGAAAGATCACGGGTAGTGAGCATACTTTGGATCTTTTCTCTATGATAAGCCGGCGTGGTGGGTAAAGAACAGAGAGACATATTGGATGGATCTGCACCACTGGGTAGTGAATTGATACATGGCAAGGCAGATGTGGTCAAGGCCCTTTGGGAACATGCAACGGAATCAGTAGAGACAGAAGATTATTATGGCCTTCAGAGAATGAGGCATTTGAGTGTTGCCAGAGGGTCTAGTCCGCTTACACTCACAGGAAAGGTAAGACGGACATACAACCAGATTGTGACCGGTACCATCAGTATTGGAACTCTGCGCTGGCTGCTGAAGATAAGGACGGGGCATGCATAGGAATGAACGAGTACTGTGATGTTAATTCTTGACTCATCTTAACTCAACTCCCTTCATTTGTTTGGCTGTTGTGGTTTTTTTTCCTAGGAAAATCTACCTTCAGTAGTTTCCAGTTTCTAAAGTATAACTGTTAGCTAAAGCCGGAAGCGTGGCGAAAGCCTCGTTAATATAGAACCGTCAAAGAAAATTGTATTTGTCAAACCTAAAAGCTCTAGCGTATTGTCTAATGTAGGCCCATATCTGTGTGTCCTGATCCGGGTCTATTCTAGTCTACAGCGGATCATGGCAACAGTCGGTTAGTTCTGCTGGACACTGTAAATCGTCATGTAACAACCGATTACAGTAGATCTTCACCGCCTTTTTATGATGGTGTTAAAATGGGGAGGGTGGAGCGGGGGGGGGGTGTGGGTGGAGCAGGGAAGTAGACGGGGGGTAGAGTGGAGAGCAGGGAGGTAGAGAGGGGGGGGGGGCGCCTTGACTCTGAAATTGTAATTTTGCAGTTGCCATGAATTGAGCAGGTCCGACTGTTATTTTTGCTCTCAACAAAACAAAATGTTCGTCCCTTTATTCTAGCCTGTTTGTTTTTTCTGAGAGTAGCTCGGCCAGCCATTACTCTAATCTAGTATCTGAGCTGCGGAGTTCGGGCTTTGTGCGGCATGTGGATAGCCGTTATGTGGAGAGAACCGAGCCATATGGAGAGAAAAAAAAACGTGGTACAAAGAAGTCGAACCTCCCCAACCCAACTTTAGGATATGCAGTAAAGAAGTATACATGTATTGATTGGCACTCGTAGAAAGAAGTAGAAAGATAGAAGAAAATACTAGACAACAACATAAATCAAAAGTTTTAGTTACTGCGCTGGGATTCGAACCTGACATCTTTCGATACTCTAGTGGGTGTGGCTCTTTCCTTCACCCCCGCTCTTCTTTTCAGTTTTCCTTAACATTTGTCTCCCCATCTGTCTCCTGCAGCGACATCTACCACACCGTCCCCTCTCCCTCCCTGCACCCACCATGTATATCTACTAATGCGCTTTCTACAAAGGGGACATGTTTTTTGTTAAACTACCTTGGCTCGCAGGTTGACCCACCCTTAAATGGGTGCTAGGTTAAGTCCAGGGAAGTTAAGGCGGTGGGTGTGATGTTGCATTACCCACCGAGTGCCGATTGGTCAATATAGGCGTAGCCCTTTATGCCTGAAGACATAAAAAAAAAGAGTCCCTTTTCGTTTATTTACTTACAATGCACCGTCTAACTGGAGTGAGTCTCCGTGACCTGTCAGTTACAGTACACAGAAAAACCTGTTTTTCTGCGCCACTATGACGCTTTGGTGAAACCGCTTTTAGTCTTGGGTATACATGATAGGATGTGGTCAGGTTCCTTCTGCTGTCATTTCCCAGACAACTCTTCGTGATATCTTATACCCGTTATTATAAGGGATGGAGGGGGGGGGGTGTGGTGTGATCCTATAGCTGAAATTTTAGGAGAAAAAAAATCCGGTCACTTCAGGGAGTGTAACCGAACCACTGTCTGCAGGCAGTAGCGCTAAACACTTCGCCCTAGCAGCTCCAGAAACGTACGGAGGAGGGAGCTGATGTTAAATACACTGCGAGTGCAACATCAGTTTCTGGGCCGGGCTGTCTGAGACTTGCTGTTATTTATCAGCTTTGAAGTGGGTTAACGGTTACGTCTGGGCCTCGTTACCGAGGAAACAGATGACGGGTAACTGTGACAGACTGAGCTTGGGCACGTTAGCCGTTTTGTTAACGAGTTAAGTTCGCCGTGTTCTACCTCTGTACTTGTGTAATGGGTGTCTGTAAACAGCATCTGACGTTTTGCCTCAATAGTACATTCATTCGGATTAACTTTTGTCCTACTTTTAATACAATCTCTCGGAATAACTTGCGTACTACTTTTTATTTTCTCGTCCCACTTGTATCACTGACTATTTCTTGCCTACGCGTCTCAAACCTTTTAACAATAGGCGGTTTTTATTATAACTCATATGTGTGTAATTGTTATTAAAATATTTCACTTGTCTTGGTGTCATTAATAAATGTCGAATTTTCAACAGACATTGAATATGAACGACTGCCATCAGCTAATAGGCAGGTATGTATAGGCTGAGGCGCGAAATTTTGTTGCAGCCCGAGAAATTTAGATGGAAGTACTGATTTACGAATCGACAGCATAGCACACTGAGCATTCCCATAGGTACTCCGTCTCCCGCAGCAAATGTCCTAAAGTGTAAATGCTTACTGTTCCCGTAGAAAACTTAATTATGAACTCATCGTTCTCTTCCTCTCAAACGTCAGTCCTTGCCAGACCCACCCCTAAATCCTCGTTTACTCATTCTTTCACGTGTTATTTCATCTAAGCTCATGTCAGTATTCGTTCACAGTCTTCAATACTGCCTGTTATAATTCAAGAACTTCTGGTCTTGCTGCTGCCTCTTCCTCTGAACCTGTTTCCTTCACATTGTATAGCTTGCTGGTTTCCCGTTGGCTGCTTTTATGTTTATTACCTGGAATTTAAGTTCATTTCATTAAATTCAATTTCTGACTCAGTTTTAAATTTATCCAGGTTGCGAGGTCTTCCCCCCCCCCCCCCACTTTTTTTTTTAAATACACACATGCACACACACAAATGCAACAACATAATCACACATGAATACCCACATACAAACCAATTAAGCTTATAGTGGGAAAAGGAAAAAAACAGACTCAAGGACATATTCTTAAAATGATTTATTGATAAAAACAAACTTCATGAAACAAAAAGTTTGTGTTGAAAATGGCAAATGTCAATGAAAATGACAACACTAAAAGGGTAAAGCACTGTGTAAGCTGGGCTGTAGACAAGTGACACCGAACACAAACTAGAGACCAAGCACAGCTACAACAGCATCAGTACAGAGAAGACAACAATCACATAGATTCACAGGGTTGTTAGCAGAAAGCATCACCAATATCCCCTCCTGTCTAAACAAATGTTTAGAAACTGACACCAAGTCTACGCTGAACTTTCTCAACCATCCCATAGTTCTCAGTTAAACAAAACCTTTAACTCAAGAAATCAGCTTGCTTCAATCCACATATAAATTGCATAAATCGCACATTTCTGCTTAAAATTCTAATAGCTACCTCTGTAGTTTGCAGAGAAGGATGAGGAGGGTTGTGGTTGGTGGGAGAACCATTCCAACAAAGGATCTTCCCAAATGTTCAGTACAGCAGTTCCTCTATGGACAATGGAGATACATGGTTAGTCAGGGTCTCCAATTCCCCAATGGTAGACAGAGGATCACACTACAGGGACAAGGGCTATGGTCACGGAAACAGTTTGGTCACTGCCATAAAGGAAAGCAGAGGTAAACTATTTTTTCAAGATGACAAGAACGGTCATCTTCTGGATAGCTTGGCCAAATGGATGGAGGTTGGGGGTCCTAGCCAGATCTGTGACTTTGAGATAGCAAAACATGACCACATATGCTTATCAGCAGGGCAGATGATGATAAAGACAAACTGGGGATATGGTGTTTGGTTTTAAAATGTCTACATATGTGGTTTGGTCAATATGGTCAGCCCCTCTGGAGAAAATCATGCTGTCTGTTTGTCCACAGCCTTCTTAATCATTCATGTCTCAAACAGATGTTCCTCCATGATGTGATGTTAAACTGTCAAACATCTTCTCTCTTGGCTCTTCCACCTTTCCTGTTGTCACGATGGTTTCAATTTGTGCCTTTATCATAACTTGTACACAGATTGAGCAGATTGTCTCTTTTCTGGGCAGAGACCAGTTCTCTTTGTGACTGTTTCTCTCAAGATATCTTCACTGTTTAGCTCAACAGAATCAAAATATGAAACACCTCTATAAGAAGCTTCTTACATTACTGCCTCCACTAAGTCATTTATCCATGACATGTGTGGGACTTATACATGTCCCAACACTATCAAATGTATCATTTTAGCTGAGGAGTGGTAGGCTGAATGACTAGAAAGGTGGGTTCTCATGCAGAAAACCTGGATTCAAATCATTGGTGATGTGATGGAATTTACACATTTTAAACCTGCAAAAGTCATGGTAATTATACTAGCCATGCTGCCCTAAATGCCCAGCTCAAGAACAAGGAAACAAGTCAACAGTGCAGTGGCACAAACTGATCATGATGGTCTCAAGAGAATGGTACAACAGGGACTGACTGACTTCAGATTCAGAGGAAAAGCAATACTAGCATACAATCAGCTAACAGAGTTGGAATTCTTCGTTGGCTGAAAAAGATAGGAACCGAGTATTTATGCGAATTCCTACACCAGTCTAAGACATCTGTTAGTGCTGCAGCTTCATATATACAGTTACAGGAATAGAAATGACCATGAAATGATACATGCCCAACTAAAAATCTCAATAATACAAGGCCAGTGGTATGAGAACTACAGCAACACAAATGCAAACAATAAAGAAGCACACCATACAAAAAATGGCCGACATTTGTAGCAACGATAAGATGACCATAAAACACTGAGGACACAAAGCCAAGGACACTGTGTGGATTATCGTGGGAAATACTGCACATCATGCTCGTGTGCGTGTGGGTCTGGGTATTCTGTGAGGTCAAGGGTTAGGCTGTTGCTGATGACACAGTCTCCTTGCTGTGGAGATAAATTGTGTGCACATTACTTCAGGAGCAGATAGGATTTTAGGAAATGTGTTTTATATCATTGAAGTACCTCAACAGAAACATGTTTGGAAGTATTCTGATTGCCTTATCTTCACATGAGTCACTACATGGTTAACTGTGTTCAGATGAGTTGAGGTGAATCTTCACCTGTGCGCATTACACTGTTAACTATGTCCAGATGAGTTGAGGTGAATCTTCACATGTGTGCATTACATTGTTAAATGTGTTCAGATAAGTTGAGGTGAATCTTCGCATGTGTACATTACATTGTTAACTGTGTTCAGATGACTTGAGGTGAATCTTCACATGTGTGCATTACATGGTTAACTGTGTTCACATGGGGTGAGATGAATCTTCACCTGTGAGCACTACATGGTTGTGTTCAAATGATGTCAATGTTCACATGTGTGCATTACATTGTTAACTGTGTTCAGATGAGTTGGTGCGAGTCAAGAACTGATATCCAGGACTTGTGACATTTCCATAATTGCTCCATCTTCATCGTTAGCAGCCAGTGAAGAATTCCAACTCTGATGGTACCCACAACAGTCTGACTGTGTGTCCGTCTGGCTTTTCCTTTGAATGTTGAGTGCCAGCTAGATTCCTTGGTTACTCCCCGAAGCACTCTTCTCTTCAGACTGGGATGATCTATATGTTCCTCCTCACTATTCTCTCCCTCCTAAAGTGCCTTGACCACATCAATTTACCACCAAATGGTACAGAACAAACCAGTCTATCTACCTGTTAATTTCCCAACACACCTGCCTGCCCTGGAGAAAATAATACTCAAAGAATGCTAACTATCAGAGACCCTCTAAAGCAATGCTTGCCAAGGAGCATGCCTGTCTTACATTTCAGTACATTTACCGCTACTGCTATGGACAGCATTACACACTGGCTTATATTTATTTTTACACACCTCCATAGCCACTGCAAAACAATCTTGTACTGTCAAGCATCTTCTCTGACTGTCGTCTTTCCTCTATAACCTTGAATGGTTTGAATTACACTGACTGCACAGATCTGTTCCAGTGGTCACAAACATGTTCTATTTTCCCTCTTCTCATAATTATGGCCGTTATGAAAATTATGACTGTAGCCTTAGATTACTCCTTCTGATTACACTGACTGTCAGTGATAAGTTGTCTTCGGGCTCCCGCCTCTGTTTTAAAACCTCTGAATGGTTTATGAATTGCTCTTGACTGACTGGCTGTACCAAGGTATTCTAAGCTGATTCTTCTGCCTTAGATTAAACCACATCTCTGACTGACTGCCTCTGTTAAAAACCAGCACGTAACTGATACATGCTGCATGACTGACTGTTAGCCTTAGATTTGCGGATTATGGAGAGGCATGATCGCCCATGCCAGTCTGACAAGGTTAGCCTGATGACAAACAGCTAATGTATGATTTTTTTACACTGCTACATGGGGACTGACTGTGTAATAATTTATCTCTGAAAACATGACTGAGTTCTACTTAGATTACTGACAACAGCTACCTTGAACTGATACACACTGCTACATGACTGACTGTTAGCCTTAGATTACTGACAAACAGCTAATCTTGTATGGTTATGAATTACACTGACTGCTACATGACTGACTGTTAGCCTTAGATTACTGACAAACAGCTAACCTTGAATGGTTATGAATTACACTGACTGCTACATGTAGCTATCTACATGAGAGACAGCCCAATCTGAGGTAATAAAGCTGTGTGCTAATCAAGCATTATTGTCATCCAACTCCGATTCTAATACACATAAAACAAGAATTTCTCTATAACATGGAATGTACTTTGATTGATTCTTAACATTCTGCATTTACTTATCATTAACTCTGTACAAATATTAAATCCCCTCTTTTACAGAAAGTAATACTTTCCGTTAATATTCAATCACGATTGTGACTGCTGCATCACAGAGTTTGTCTTGTCTTTCAATGCATTCTCATAAACAAGTTATGATGCTATAAACTACAGTGAATATCAGAGCAAATAAGAATAATAGAGAATGAAACATGACATTCATAAAAGTAACAGAACAAAGGAATGGTTTCCTAGTTTTACTACTTGAGAAACTTTAATACTTAGCTCTTACAGCACGCATCAGAACAATACAAAAGAAAAAGAAAACAAAACAGCAGGTAACACTGGGAAATCATAACTGACAACTGATGAAGACTCACCTCTGGGAAAATACCAATAAGTGCATCAGCCCGGTTGTAAAACTCCTCCTTTAGAGAGATCACTATGCACTGGAAATTTTTTTCTGACTGTTCCCGAATATAGGCTGCAACCTGTGTGTACACAGAAACACAAATGTCACCCGAAGTGAGAAAAAAAAAGTAAATGACCCTTTTCATGCCGCTGGCGCATCGGACATATGATGCTTGACTAATATTTATTTGTTATAGACAAATTGGCTCCGGGATATCAGGCCCGCAGCCCCTACTTCCCAGGCCTCTCCTTGGCACCCATTTTAGGCTGGATAAGACTTTAGACAGCCAAATTTAGAGTGAAGTTAACGGTAAGGTCTTTAATAAAATGTTTGTAATTGCAGTTTTTGTAGCCTGCTAGCCATACACAGAGAGAAATCAGTGGCTGGAGGAGGTGCCGTCAGTATTTACATAGTTTGTAAAAAAAATAAATGTCACTAAAAGAACTTGCAAATCCTCCCCTTCCCCAACAAGTGAAGAAACCCCAGGGGTGTAACCAGAATGACTGAAAGCCAAAGGTGACATTAAAAAAATGTATTTCTATGCAATGTCAAACTTATAGGGCTAAAATAAGTCTCATCAGTCATCCCTGTAAAGTCATGCTCAAGATACTCCTAAAAAAACTAAAGCCACATGCAGAAAAGATCAAAGCAGAGAAACAGGCGGGTTTCCGTGCTGGAAGAAGCACTGTTGATATTTAATCTAGGCATAGTGTTTGAGCAATATCACCAGCACCAAAAACATCTCTACCATGTGTTCATTGATTTCAAAAAGGCCTTTGATAGAGTATGGCTTGCAGCACTCTGGGACACTGCGAAAAAGTACAATATGGGTAAAACCTTTATACATAGTAAAAAAAAGCTCTATGCTGAGGTTAGCAGTGCTGTCACGCTAAACAGACAAACATGAAGCTGGTTCCAAACAAAAGTAGGAGTCTGTCAGGGCTGCCTCCTCTCTCCAACACTGTTCAACATCTTTTTTAGAAAGAATTATGATTGATGCCCTAGAACAATGTCATGGAACAGTTAGTATCGAACTATAACAAACTTAAGGTTTGCAGATGACATCGATAAGTTGGCCAGAGAAGAGCAAGAGCTAGTCAAACTTGTAAAGCTACTCGAAAAAACAACAAAGTATGGCATGGAAATAACGGCAGAAAAAAAAATAATGACTTATAATCCAGCTGGCAGAATTTCACCAACCTACATTAAAATCTACAAATTAGAACAAGTGACTCATTTTAAATATATTTGGGATACATTTTAAGTGACTTAGGGTCACGAGCAGAAATCATGTCTAGGATTGCCCAGACAACATCAGTCTTTGCCAAGCAGCAAACACTATGGAGATCCAAAAACATTTCATGTAAACTAAGATTTGATTGCTAAGAGTACTAGCTATTAGTACATTTACAGATGGTTGTGAAATGTAGGCCTTAACAGCTGAACTTGAAAGAAAGATACAAGCATTGGAAATGTGATGTTTCAGAAAAAAAATTCTTGGCATGTCATACAGAGACCACATTACAAAGAAGTTCACCATAAAATTATACAGCATATTGGCAACTATGAACCTTTTAACTAGAGTAAAAAGTCGAAATATGCAATGGTATGGACATGTAATACGATCTAACGGCCTATCAAAAACAATTCTGAAGTAGAGGGAAAGAGGAGAAGAGGCAGACCAAGAAAGAGCTGGTTACAGAACCTGACTGGACAGGCTTTAAACATGCAACAGTGAAGTCTATCGCAACTGACCACCAAAGGTGGAGAGAGCTGATCAGACAGTCAACAAAAACTGGTGACCCGACGACACGTAGTGTTACAGGATGATGATGATTTCTATGCACATTTGTTTTAACTACTAATCAGACACAGAAAAAGCAAAATCCTCAATGCACTCATAGCATGTTTCTTTAATGTCCAAGGTAAACAGCTGTCTACACAGTTCTGCCAATCAAAAGGTCGTAGGTATGAATCCACACCAAGACTGATGTTTCTAATTACCTACCTAAAGATGGAACTTTAGATTGATTGTAAAAATCTAGTCTGATGCAGATAACAAATATTTAAAAAAAGGCTAAGGAGAATAAAAATGACTAAACAGTGTGTTTTCACACGGTTGAGACACTGGGATTAATATCAGACCTCACACACACTGTCAATTAATAATATGCAATATAAAACAGGTAAACCTCTGATGCTATCGTGCTTTTTACATGGAATGACAGAAACATAGACTTGCCTTGCCAATGTTTGTGTTGTCCAAAGCTGCATCAATTTCATCCAGCACAAAGAATGGTGACTGCTGGTAACTGTAGAGATAACAACAACCATGTTAAAGTCACCTCCACTTGTTTGTTACCATCACCAGTGCCTCCCCACATTTGTCTTCACTGTCTCTAATACAATCTTCAGGCCTTTTTGCAACAATTAAACTACTGGAAACATGAATTGCATCTGAACCCGAGTTTGTCATCAGTAGGGTATTCGGCCAGTGGCCTTCACTCATGTTCTAAATGAGTTTTCCATGTACATGACCATCCCTGCCTGCTCTGGTGGTGGACTGACAAGTGCAAGAGGATTTCTGGACACTGCATCTCTGGGGTCCACCAACTCTGAGATCCCCTGCCAGCTCGATTTAGGTCCATATACGCCATCATCCATAGATATGGTAGAAATTTTGCATGATGATCCATCAGACCAGCCTAGAGTTTCCTGGGGCCCGAAGTGAGGTAGAGAATATCAGCTCGCTCTTTACGCAGAACAGTTAAGGAAGCCAGCGGCACCTTCTCCATGACCACCAGTAGCATGACGATGGAGGTGATCGCGGTCACACAGGCTTTTATGTGGCTGGGATCACAGGACTATTTCCGCATGTATGTGCTGAGTGATTCTTTGAGCATGATCCGGCGGGTTGAGGCAGGTTAGTTACGCAGACAGTGGCTTGAGTCGTTGCTAAATTCTCCTGTGTGTGCAGTTAACTTTCATATTCGTCCCAGGGCATGCAGGTGTTGTTGGTAATGAGAGAGTGGATAGACTGGCAGGTGCTGCATTAATTAAAGATGGCCAACTCATGAATCACGCAGACATTGTCATTGCCCTTAGAGAGACAGGACATTCTGAGGATTTTGGAAGCAACGTGTCCACATCACTGCTAAGAATTCACGAATTGGGAGTAAAGATCGGCACAGCCAAGCATGAGAAGCACACTGGACGCATACAAAGTATTAATAACCAACATAGGACTGGTACTATTAACCACACGACGCTGATGAATATGTTGAGAGGGGAATCTGAGCGCTTATGTATGTGACCAGAGTGCTGTGAAGATAATCTAACTCATAACTCACAGTATCTCCTTACACATATCACAATGACCTCAACTGTCCCTTACGACTGTGACAAAAATCATCGTGCCACACTTCGTCTAAACAACACTGCTTGTTGTATATACTGTTGGCCATATTGTCTATTGGCAGTCAAGGGTGTGAAGTCATAGGTTCAGCAGTTATTGCCCTTTTTTTTTTTAACACATGCTTATGGACGACACACCATTGTTAAGATACATGAAAGAACTTTTAGGACAATAACTAACTAACTAACTAAACTCTCGTGCGTGTGGGGCATGGGGGGGGGGGGGGGGGGGGGGGGGGAAGAGAGGAATACTGGGTGTTGCCTAAATGCGGCCAAACGGCTTGTACAATCAGTTTATAACTGTATACTTTTTGCTAATGACAGAAAACATTTTCATCACCTTTCACCATTCAAACGCAGGTCTCCCCACATTAAAGCTCAGTTGACTAATTGATCAGCTAACACTGACAATACTGATTACTTATTCATGGTTTAGAGGCTGCTGCAGCAAAATACCTTTGACCTAATGCTGAAAACATTAACAGCCTACTCACTAACAGCCGATGTGTTATATGCTAGATCACAACTTAAGTTACATCCGACAATGCCATTAGGTAGATGTGAAGTTAGAGTATAACTGAAGGCTGCAGGATCGAGATCACAAATCACTCCGCCAGCATCACTGAAAATAAATACCCCAAACACTGCATAATCTACGATAACTACACAGCCTATGCATACCTGTTGATAGAAAACAGAAGTGCCAGTGCAGCAACAGTCTTCTCACCACCAGACAGATTGTCCATGGGTCGGAACCTCTTTCCTGGAGCTACACAGTTGTAGTTGATTCCATCCAGGTATGGCTCCTCTGGGTTCTCCGGACCTAAAAATGCCTGGGCTGACTGATTTCTGGCCAGTGACTGAGAACATAGACAAAAAGTATAAAGTATTAAACAAATTAAAACAACAAAAATACCTAATGCTCATACAATGTTTTCTGTTCTTGTTAAAGCATATTTAAAGTTGCTCTCCTCCAGCCTCTGTAAGCCTGTTCTGTCATACACAGCTGTATGCTGATGCTGGTGACCACTGACAACTTTTGTGGAAAAGCAGAGACAGAGGAAGACAACATGAGAAGATTCTTGACAGTGTTTTTTTTTGTTTGTTTGTTGGTAATGGCATGAAGGGCTGTTAGCACATGAACTTATATATGCTGATGGCAACAGCAGGTCATGGAGAGACATGAATGCCTATGCGTATGTGTCCAAAGGATGGATGGATGGGTTGATGGATGGATAGATATACTTACATACCTATGAATGAATGAATGAATGAGTTGAGAGAGAGAGAGAGAGAGAGAGAGAGAGAGAGAGAGAGAGAGAGAGAGAGAGAGAGAGAGAGAGAGAGAGAGAGAGTGTGTGAGTGAGAGTGAGAGTTAGTGAGAGTGAGTGAGTGAGAGTGAGTGAGTGAGAGTGAGTGAGTGAGTGAGTGAGTGAGTGAGTGAGTGAGTGAGTGAGTGAGTGAGTGAGTGAGTGAGTGAGTGAGTGAGTGAGTGTCTGTCTGTCTGTCTGTCTGTCTGTCTGTCTGTCTGTCTCTGTATGTATGTATGTATGTCTGTATGTATGTATGTATGATGGAAGGTTTAAGGCAGGCCTGCATACCAAATTTGTGGCCCTCTGAAAATCAAGATCATTCACTTGTGTTATCACTTACAGAAGTGCAATGATACCTCCTCCAGAAACATGAATGACATCCCAATGTTTAAACTGAACAAATGGTATTTAAATGTATCTGATGAACAGCTCACACTGTATCCTATTCTGCTATGTGCTGATCTAACATTATCTTCAAAATCGGTGAATTTTTAATGTATATAACTTCTGTGGTTGGCATTCAGTAACTTCCACTATGCCAAGTACTGGCATACCTAAGTGTTTTCAGGTCACTCCTGAAAACAAACCGGACAAATTGTAATGTGTGAGAAGAGTTTAATGTTTAACAATACTGGACAAGAAGCAAAAAAGACAGAAAAAGATGTATCTGGTGCATTTCAACAGCTGGACAACAATAATGCAAGAAAACTGACATTATTAAAGTACCAGATGACAAAGGACTGGAGTTTTCAATGCAATTACTTGCCTATATAGAAGTTAACACCCTTGGGGAGCGAAAGCCTAAAAGAATGACAAAACAGGACTGCCAAAGACTGATAATCCAGATAGCCCAACTGAAACTGATAAATAAAGATAAAAAACCATGAAAGATAACAAATCCAGATTGCCAAACTAGGGTTGTCTAAAACAAAGACTGATAACCTAGACTGCCAAATAAAGATAACCCAGACTGCCAAACAGAGATAACCCAGACTGCCAAACAAAAACTGATAACCCAGAATGCCAAACAAAAACTGATAACCCAGACTGCCAAACAAAAACTGATAACCCAGAATGCCAAACAAAAACTGATAACCCAGACTGCCAAAAAAAAACTGATAACCCAGACTGCCAAACAAAAACTGATAACCCAGACTGCCAAACGAAAACTGATAACCCAGATTGCCAAACAAAATCTGAGAAAAAGGCTGACATACCAAGACAGGACCATTTAATGTAATTCAACCAGAAGATCTCACCTTGTAAATCTCATCTATTTTTGTGGAGACATGTTCAAAACAGTGCATGAAAGTGTCGTAACGTTTCTTGCGAATTCTTTCAAATGCTGTCTTTGCAGATTTTGCTCTCCTTCTTGCGTTCTCAAATTCTTCTGATGTTTCCTGGAACCTCTCTTTGACACCATCCAACCTAAAAAGTGCCAGAAAAACTTTTAATAACAACAAAGAATAAAAAAGTATTGTCAAAGAAAATATGTAAAAGTTATTCTAGTGTGTTTTTTTTAAACTCAATTTGAAGGCACTCACAAGGAAATAAATTCAAGGCTATATTTAGGCTTCTGAACAAACATGATTTATTCTTCTTCTTAGCATTCACCAGCTGTAAACTCCATTGGAAAGTTCTGGGTTGTTTGCCCACTTCTGGACTTTATAGTCTCATTCCAGAACTGGAATTATGCCTGCACATCCTCATTATAGATCTCTTTGCCTGTATGCAGACTGCTGGTTTCTTGCCTCTCAGGCAAATGTGATCCAACTTCGCAGGACAAATTCAAAATGATCACTTTTTGACACAGGGAGGAGGGAGGCAGTCTGGGTACCCTATTCCCCCCCCACCCCACCCCATTGGGGTCACAGAACCCACAAGAGGAATTTGATTATCGGATTACAATGGATCTGTCAATGTACAGTAGTCACCAACAAAATATAAGCAGTGAAATCATATTTCTGTGAGTATGTGAGCCTGACAAGTAGGAAAGGATTCCCTGGAATCAGCCAGCATTTAGAACTGTTGGCAGCATGTTAACAGGACTTCTGGAATCAACAAAGTTCAAACCAATCGCCCAATGAAAATGTAAGAAAAGAACGTCTCAAGTGCAACTGCTACTTAACCCTTTGAGAAACAACTGCCACTCAAGTGGCTCCTGAATCCAACATGTTTGGACAGATCACCACTCAAGTGGCTCTTCGCATAGACACTGTAATATTGTTTCGTTGGCTGGGAAAAACAAATTTGTATGCACATGTTTTGAAAAGCTAGAATTAGCAAAATGGAGTCCTTTCATCTTGGAAGTTTGGCGAGGTTTTTGGATAACTTTCTGAATTGTTTTAAATTATTTAGATGTGATGCAATATTTACATGATTTTTCTATACCAAATGATAAGTGAAAAGGTTAAGAACTGTTCATACTCCTCTGTCGTTGATGAATCTCAGCCAGATAGTGACAAAAGTCTGATAATGACTATAATGAAGTGAAAACCTACTGGCGATAATGAAGATTAGGATGACTTTGAATAAAATATTTCAATCGGATCATCTCTGTTTCAATCAGCTGTTTTCCCAATTTTGGTTGTTGTGAAATCTGACATGTCGTACAAAAATGGTCACAACATCCAAAGTATGTAAAATAATTGTTTCAAATAAAGACTGATACATAATTACTCGGAAAAAGCAAATGAAATCTTAGAATTGGATAGCTATGTTGCTGAATAAGTTTTAAAAAAAGCGTGAGACAACATTAAAAAAAAAAAAATCTTCATATGCGTCTAACATCCTTGAATGCTGTGTAATTTTAATATTTTGTTGTAATACTGATGTTTAAATAGTTCAGATTTATTCTGCTTTCATTTCTCTTTAATATGATATATCATATATCTATACAGCCAACACTTTTCTTCAGGAAGGTTTTATCATATTCATGTTGCAGTAAATAAAATTCTGCTAAAAATGAATGCTGTCCAAAGCCCAGAGAAAAATGTCGTTAAACAAGTTGAATGTTAGGCTTTTTTTTTTTTAATCTGAAACAAATGGTGCAATTTTCCTATCATTTTTATAAACCTACTATTAATCATAAAAGTGTTGTGCATCATTAACACAGATTCCAAGGGGTTGGAAATCACGTTTCCATTTTTGTTTTAAATTTGTGCTGAACAGGGACTGATAACGGTAATATATCCCTGCTGAGACCACACTTTTGTTCAGGTTAACCAAGTGTTTTTAAGTGAGTTAATGTTAATGTTAACAAGGTTTCACTGTAACTACTATTATTTAATTGGCATGAGATACATAACCTAACTGGGGAAAAAAAAACCAACAGACTGTCAGAGCCAACTATATTCTGACAACAAACACACACACAGAGTCGCAAGGTCACTTACTTTTCCATTGCTCTCATGTTGGGAGCATTTATCTTTTGTATTGTGGTTTGCAAATCTGAAACTGCTTTAGACATGGTTTCTAGTGCTGACTTCACTTCATCCCCTGAATCCAGCTATCGACAAATAAACACATGAACGTTCCATGAATTCTTAGTCAACAGCAAGAGTAGACCAATGTGGCGACAACGTGCATGTTCTTTTTTTAATGAAATGTATTTAAAATAGCTAAATAAGTAGGCACACAACCATAATGTTATGGCAGGGCAGACCAGGCCCTTACCTTCAGCTTTGGTTGGCAGCTGAAAGCTCAAACAGGTGGAGAGATAGAGCACTAACATGAACAGGAAGAATTTCATCCCTGGCCTAAACTGTATCATCACTGGCTGATGTCAATGCGCCCCCATCACACAATGGAAACACTATCACTAGAACAGGCAGAAAGCTACCAACAAGTAGGCATGTTGACCATAAATATGGAAATTCCAAAGAAAAAAAAATATATATATATATATAATATATATATATATATATATATATATGAAGAGAGAGAGAGAGAGAGAGAGATGAGAGAGAGAGAGAAGACAGAGAGAGAAGAGAGAGAGATGAGAGAGAGAAGAGAGAGAGAGAGAGAGAGAAAGAGAGAGAGACAGAGAGAGAGAGAGACAGAGGGAGAAAGAGGCACACGCACGCACTCACACACCCCTCCCCCAGCCTTACATCCCCACTGGTACATATAAAAACATATCAATTATGATAACCCAATGATAGTCTAGCACAAGAACCCATACAGTGATACTGATACTTCCGGTCAAAATGGACGCCAGGGGCGGTTACCGTTTTGCGCCGAGGCAAATTTTTTGCTTCTGGCAGACAGTGGCCGTTGCATTTTTGATCCATTTGTAGACTGGAAGGATAGTTTTGTCGCGCCAGCTACTGAGTTGAGTGCATGGCGCGACCCTGTGAGCTGCGGATTTCATTTGGAATGTTTTTCGGCTAACTATGGGGTGATGTTTTTAGCATCAAAAGAAAACACACAAAAACTACTGTGAATTACACAGAATAACACAGCATCGCTGTACCTCTTTATATTCTTCATTTAGTGAGGAATAGTCTATTTCCAATGCTGCCTCTCTTTCATAAATTGCCTTGGTTCCTTGGCTGTCCTGGTGTTCATCACCGTCCCCTTCCTGGGAGATATCCTCGATGGAGCCTCGGGTCATAGGGCACTCTGATGTCCTCCATCTGCAAGCACAGAGATATACAACGAAAATATTTTACTAACAGCAGAACCTACATTACATTTTAAAGATTTCTAAAACAGTCTCAGAAAGACAGTTATCAACAGATCAATAAAGCCAATCTTTATGTATGGAAGTGATTAGACAGTCAGCAGTAGATTGAACAATTATGGGGAAGCTGTGAAAATGTAATTTTATAGAAGAATGATGAGAAAGAAAACTGTGGGCAGACAGAAAGTGCACTGAAATGTCTGGACACAAATTACCTCAGTAAGAGAAATGATCACCTGCAACACAAGTACTAAATAAGACATAAACAGATAGGGACCCTCAAGCCCATAGAGACACTATATATATATATATATATATATATATATATATATATATATATATATATATATATATATATATATATATATATATATATATATATATATATATATATATATATATATATATATATATATATATATATATATATATATATATATATATATATATATATATCGGCACTCATAGAAAGGAGAAATAGCACTAGACAATAAGAAAATCAAAAGCTATACTTTATCATGCCAGCAATCAAACTCATCACCTCCAAATGATAAATGTTTAATCTGTTTCTTCTCAGATGCTCAGCTCTCATCCTTTCTGCATTTCTACCTTCATTTTCATTCCCTTCTTGACGTGCCCCCTCCACACAACACAGGCCATGGTAGTTTGCTCCAAGTCCACCTCAATACTTGTATCATTCTTGTCCCGCTTGCACACATCTTTATATCGTAGTAAAGGTCACTCTCAACATTTATCTTTAATCCACCATAGAGGATGTCCTTAGGGACTCTGCCATTCTCCATTCTCCAGGTGTGATATAGCCACCTGAGCCTTCGTAGACTGGGTTTTGAGAAGACTGTTGTAATACCTGCTCTTTCCAATACCTCAGTGTTTGTGATCTCGGCCTGCCACTTAATGCCAAGTATTCTTCTTAGGCATCGCGTGTGAAAGCTGTTTATCTGTTTCTCCTGGTGCTCCTCATCCAACCGTACAGATATATAAAATAAACAAATAACATATGTCTGTGTTCTATGTCCTACAGGAATCAATGCTCTTCTGCCTTCCTTCATCACATTTTTTTTTAAATTTATTTTTCATTCCTTTCCATAGTCCTTTCTTCATGTTTTTTGGTTTTTTTTTAATTACTATTCTGCCCTCATTTCCTCTCACATTTTGTGTTTCCATTTCATGTCATCTTCCAGGCTGCTTGTTTATGTATCTCATGGCAAGTACTGAAAAAACATTCCTTCGCATAACTGGACAACTTATGGCAAACATTCGTCAAAAAAAAGTCACCATCATCTACAGCATGTAAAACTTCATTGTTTACATGTCTAAAGACAAGCAAATCAAAGAGAAACAAGCACACATACCTTACAACTCTTCAACAAACTATGCCTGTCAGCGCGCTTCTGCTCAAGCTTCACTTCGAGAGCGTTGATAGCTTTCTGCACTGCTGCTATTTCTTTCTGCTGGACGGTCAGTCGTTTGCGGACATCATTGATCTCTGCCTCCATGTCATCTACCTGTGACTTGAAGGTCAGCTTATTCTGTTTCAGCTTCTCTTGTCTCTGCATCTCTTCCTCGATGATCTGTGACCAATTAAATGTCAGTGTCTCATTATTTCTACCCACATGCACAAGAAACCACATGTCACCTAATGCAGTAGGGCTCTGTTTGTCACTGATGAGTTGTGGAAGCGCAAATAGATCATTATGGTCTGAGGAGAATGGTGCTGCAAGGAGTTACCAGGGGATCTGGCAGACACTCAACACTTAAGGGAAAGGCGAGACGGATATACAATCAGACAGTTACTGGTGTTATCGGAACTGGAACTCTTTGTTTGTTGAAGATGGAGCACTTATGGGGATGTCCTGAGTGCTATGATGTCAATTCTTAATTCAACATTCAACTGATGAGTTTTGTATGCTATGTGGCCTACTTGTTCATTTTATTTCTATAGCTGTGTTCCTATTATTTCGATTTTTGTTGATAAAGACCAAGTATTCGTTTTGTGTTGTATGTTGTGTTGTGGTTTAAAGCTAGGCTGAGATATTTGCATCTTCTGGGTAAAAACATCTGACTTCAAAAATTTAACAAAACCCTTTACAATATGTACTTGGGTTTTAAAAATAACAAAAACACCCAGGTACCAGGTACAGTCCTAAAAAGCAAAGGCAGCCACCAGGCTGTTAACCACATCATTATCTGATTTCTGATTGGTCTACACACACACACAACTAAATCTAAAATATGCCTGATATGTCACTGGTGTAAAAAAAAGAGTTCTTTAATTTACTTTTTAAAACATGTTAGAGGGCAGTGGTTCTATTCTTTTTAAAATAAACACAACACATATTTAGCCACATTTATATTGGTATATCTTTTAATCTCTAACTATTAGTCTTTGGTTACATAGATCATTATCAAGTGCCTTGCTCACTGGCATGAGCGATCATGCCTCTCCACAATCTGCGACTGTGTGTATCAGTCTGTGAGTTGACAACCTCCATGCCGTGACAGAAGGCTGTCAATAATCTTCTCATGCTATCTTCCTCTGTCTTGTCTTTCCTCAAATCTATCAAGAGGTCACAACATGTTCCAGTTTCCCTTTTCTCATAACATAACCAAAACATGACCACTGACTTTTTCTGATGTTTGCGATTAGTTGCGATGTTACATAAATATACAAATACATTGGGGATATACTAGTTCAGTTATTTCTGTATTTTCCTAGCAGCAGACACTAAAAGGCACATACCTGCATCTGCCTGGCTTCTTCATCCTTGACTTTCTCCACCTCCTGCTCATTGTGCTCAACTGTCTCTTGCCATTTCTTCACAATTTCTTTAATGAGGGATAAACATTTGCTTTGCTGAGTATTTATGATGTTTCCTTAATTAACAATATACATGTCTACGGTAAAACACATAAAGCTGCCGTACATCTGAGCACCACAAACATTTAAATTTCACTCCATACCTGCAGCTATCTCATTACCATCTCTAAATAAACTATCTACTCTTCATCCACTTCATTCTCTCCATACATACTGCAAAAAATATCATCTCCATAATGTTAAACCAACAATCATTCAATAAACAGTGTTAACTCTTCCATTCATAGTGTTAACTCATCCATCACTCCAAACATATTAACTCATCAATATTCACATATTGTTAACTATTTCATCACTCCATACACATTTTCATAATTTTAAGCAGACTAACACTTCCCATCCAGAACACAATTTTGAAGACCTAACCAACCACACCATGTGTGGCCAGTTGGCATTGGGTGGAAACAAGTTGTATAGATCTGTGGGGAATATGAGTCCCAGGTCCAGCTAGTCGGTATTACGTGGAAACAAGCTATTTAAATCTGTGGGGGGATATTATGAGTCCCAGGTCTAGCTAGTCGGTATTCAGTGGAAACAAGCTATAAAAATCTGTGGAGAGATATAAGTCCAAGGTCTGGCAAGTTAACATTAGGTGGAAACAAACTGTATAGATCAGTGGGGGGGATTTGAGTCCAAGGTCTAGCCAGTTGGCATTCAGTGGAAACAATCTGTATAGATCAGTGGGGGACATAAGTGGCACCATAACCCACAAACAGCCATTTGCCTCCATACCCAAAAACCAGTGGCAAGGGAGAACAAAAAGAAGGAAGAACACACTAACCTTCAGTATCTTGAGATCTCTCACATTCTAACTGGTTCTCCAGTTTGTGTCTGAGATTTTCAAACTCCATTCGTTTTCTGGCCCTCTCCTGCTGTGCTCTCAGCTCTCTTTCTTCATAATGTCTGTAAATGAGTATAATTTAATTGAAAGCAACGGCAAACTACAGAAAACAAATAGTTTTCAATGTTATGAAACTTTCAATTAGGGTACCCAAAAAAAAAAGGCATGACATACATATAATCACACAGCAGCTAGCACCAATGGAACTAGAACTCTTCACTGGCTGCTGAAGATGAGGATGCAGTGCTTATAGAAATGTGCCAAGTGCTGTGATCTCAGTTCTGAGCTCAACACTTATCTTCATCTGTATTCTGATATAACTAGATCTTGTCATCATTAATACACACTCTGACTTTCTCTCTCCTATTGGTTGTAACTCTCTCAGACAATTGTAGGTCCATCTCTTGATGTTGTCTTTCAACTTGCTCTCTTGTCCTTCATTTCACACTCCAGTAGGGTTTTTAAAAGAGTGTTGCCATCTTGTAATTGGCCGAAATATTAGTTATTTTAATAATTAAGAGAAGTAAATCCACATAAGATCAGTTTTCTTCAACAGAAACGGAAGCTGTATGTGCAAATGTTTTTTTAATAATGTGGACACAAATGAGTAAGTATTTAGTGCATCTTGTCAGGTGCATTATTAAAGTTACATCAACACATAAAAAGTTTTTTAAAAAATATTAATAAACTCCACTGAAATACACAGTTAATTTTGCTCAAGTGACCCAAGTGTTTCTCTCTTAAAATCATTGTTTTTCAATGAACATATTTCTGAAGTAAATAAAATACCTATTTATTTCATTCTATTTATTTGGTTAAAAGTGCTATGTGCACAAATTAAATGGTTGAAAGTGCTATGTGCACAACTTGAATGGTTAAAAGTGCTATGTGCACAAATTAAATGGTTAAAAGTGCTATGTGCACAAATTAAATGGTTAAAAGTACTATGTGCACAACTTAAATGACAGATAACTGACCTGATATTGGGAACACCAATAACAGCGCAAAAATCACTAAAGACAGCATCTTCCACACGATTCATTTCGTCCCTCAGCTGTTTGATATCCACTTCTCGTGCATCAATGCTCCTCTCGTATTTCTGCTGTTCGGGCTGTGGAGACAGAAGTGAGAAAATTCATTCACATGTGACACTTAAGCCCAACAAAACTGCAATGTTCAGCACAGATTTTATCTTTAAATAATAAAGACACAAACAGAATACTGAATTTTTTACTACCTGATAAATTTCACTGGATCTCACAGGGTGCATATTACAGTATTTATACAATGAAGTTCAAAAATGAGGATGTGCACTGGTTCTGACAAGGGTAAAAGTTTCATTTGGTTTCGTAAATAAAAAGAGCAATGGCAAACTACTAAATGTAAAAACAGAGCTAAGAAATGGCGCGACTGTTTTACAATGTGCAACTAAGAAACAAAAATGAACTTTTTCCATTTAGAAAAGAAGTTAGAGAAATATTTGAAAATACAGAACCAGCAGGTTTTACAGTAGGTTAAGGATACTATGAAAACATGGTTTTACAGTATGTCCCAGATACTATGAACTGTAAAAATTAGCAACACTATTTTGCTGAAACTGGCTAAAGGCATCACAAACATTACGGAGGCAATCAATATGTTGTTGCCCCATTAGGAGAAGAGAAAAAAAAACATATATTGTAACAACTGATAATATTAATAGACAAAGTTATAGAATGTTGTGGGCTAAAATGTCTAGATAGCACAGCATTATGACATGGAAAGACAATGCATGAGCTACAACATTTTGGTTAGAATGAGAAATGTAAAAGCCTAACTGCCTGTGACAGCTGGCAACTCAGTCCATAACAATTATGATGAAAAAATCAGGATCATAGTTTCTGTAACTATTCTTTTCACCGACACAGAAAGAGAACTGAAACTGCCCTAAGCTATTATGCGTTCAATACATAAATTTCCCCTAGAGCCAAGAAACCACAAAGGCTGTTTTTATTCATTAATGACACAATTTCAATAAATTACGACCTCAGATACTTACTAGGGCCTTTTCAATTTTCATCTGACACTCAGCTATCTGATTCTCATTGTGACGAATGGTTCTGTTTCGCTGAAAAATAAAACATATATTTAAATATCGGCCAAATGTTTATACACATTGTAAAAATGCAAATTTTATACACATTGTAAAACTGCAAATTTTATACACATTGTAAAACTGCAAATTTTATACACATTGTAAAGATGCAAATTTTATACACATTGTAAAACTGCAAATTTTATACACATTGTAAAACTGCAAATTTTATACACATTGTAAAAACCTCAAACTAAATGCAGGCTGTCAATTAAAAAACACAAACAACCCAGATTATAAACAGAAACCAGAAAAAGCAGAGAAGATAAAGAACATAAGTTCTAAGCAAAATCATTTGTGATTACCAAAACAGCACTACTACAAATACACAGAATAAGAAAATTACTATAATTGTCTGCATTGCAAACACACATACAATGTTATCAGAACAATTAAAGTTTATGCACCACAGACACAATTCCTGAGGCTAACATTCATGAATATTATACACTAATTCAGACATTAGCAACGACTTTAAATACAAACCATACAATTAAGGAAGCAACAGATGGCAGGTGAACTAAATCATGTTGACCTCAGGAGTATAAGATCACTGCTCATGTGGTGATATATGTCACAGAAGATCAGTATTTACTATTGCCCTCACCCCCCATACTGCTACATATGGTCCAGTTACACAGTGGAACACACCACAATCATACAAATAAAAACAATTAAACGCAAGGTAAAGCAACCACTTTTAAATCCCTAATGTGATGCCATACTTAGAAAACAATACTGCCAGCTTACACGACAATGGCGATTCAAACTGAATTCTCAATTTCACATGAAGGCCTAGTATCATAAATGTTCACTCATGTTCTACTGTAGTAACTAAATAGAAAACTAGCAAACACACACAGATAAGATACCGTATTTTCTAAACCAGTCACAGACAAAGATGATATACTCTACTCTCCAATCTAGAAAGTAGACTGGAGAGTACAGACAGAGAAGAGAGAGAGAACTCACTGTATTTTCCAAGTCAGTAACACTGTACTTGAGACGAGTTTCCAGACCCTTGATCTGAGATCTGATGGTGTTTAGTTCAGATTCCTTGCGCTTTCTCTTCTGCTGCTCTTTGAGTTCCTCCATCAGCCTCTCCTTTTTAGCCTTTAACTGGCTCAAACTCTTCTCATCCCAACGCCTGGCTTTGGCTTTCAGATCACTGTCAAACAAGCATACAGAGATTAATCATTTAAGCCTGTTTGACAACCTATGTTTCAGGTGATATCATAAGTAAATCAAAAACTATGTGCTGATTGATGTTTTATCTCAAAAATGTATACAACTGCAGAATCAGATTTTTTTAATTTCAAGTATTTCTAGAAAATGGCTTTCCTGTGAAAAATACTCAGCCTAGTCAATGTATTAAGAATGTATGTATAATGGTAAAGAATTTTAACTCTGAGTTAATTACAAAAATTAATGAAGATGAATGCTGAATGATACCTAAGTTAACTACAAGTTTGAGATACAAATTCCTTGCTTAAATTAACTTAAAGTAAAGTGCACTCAAACTAACTAAAAACATTATATGAATTAATATTATTTCAAATAAGTATAAGTATAATGTGAATGAATGCAAACTAAACTATATGTAAATAAATGCTTTGCTTATAGTTCACGCCGTGTTGTGTTAGTAGTCATGTGTAACCACAACCATCTACCTCATGTACTTTTAATCAGCTGTGACAAAGGTGATCTTACATGCCATGATGTCAAACAGTCCAACATCCTCTCTCTGTCTCCCTCTGCTTCTTTTCTCCTCAAACTTTCCCAATATCACAATGTACTCCAGTTTTCTCCTTCTCGTGACTGGCCGAATAATGTAGATTGTCTCCTTCTGATGTAGGTAATCAGTTCTCTTAGTGACTCGCTTCTCTCAAGACATCTTCTTCATTACTCTTTTTTGTAAATCCAGGATGTTCTCATCATTCATCTACAAAACCACATCTGTTGCTTATTAATAAGTTTTCACTTATCGGCCAACTGTCCATGATTCATGTTCGTATATCAGGATAGGATTTAATTGCTCCCGGGAATTCCCTCTCTCTCACCTCAATAAAAGTTACCCAACTAGCCTAATAAGCCAGCAGTTAACTCCTGACTACTGTGAAACACTTACCTAGCACCTCCAGAGATGATCCCAGACTTGTTGAATATTGTGCCATCAAGAGCAACTGACTAAAGAAAAAAATAGGTGTGTTTATTTATTCTCTTCATCTTTTTATTGATTTCTACCATAATAAAAATTATCTGGTAATCATTAACAGTACAAAATACTTCAATTAATGTTCACTATTTTACCACAAGCTGTCACTAATTTTCAGTTTTAACATTTAACAGTTCAATTAATCCTCTTTTCTAACACATTTATTTGTGTCTTTACTGTTTAACATCAAACTGTTCAATCATTTTTAAACAACATAAAATAAAACAAGAGCCAAAACGAAAACAATGAAATTGTGAGAAAATAACCTCAGTGGAAAATTAAATGCAAAAACAAAATTACTCCTTATACACAGAAACATATTCCTTATGTTTAACTGAATAAAGGGAGCTCAAAGTAGGTAGACAAACAATGTATGTTTATATTTAAGGGAAAATCCAACTTTTGGCCCATTAAGTCGGATAATAATCAATAGCTAGACTACATAATGAGACCTACTCTCTGCCTCTCTACTCCTCCAAAGGCAACACGCCTGGCATCCTCCACAGTCTCACACACCAGTGCATTGCCACAGGCAAACAGCAGGGCTTTCTTGATAACAGGAGGATCATAGTGAATGACATCAATGACAAGCTTCACATTTTTAGGGTCACGGATGTCTCTGTAAAAGAAGAGCACAGAGTGAAAAAGGAGAACAAAATCAGGAAGTGGAGCTACTCAAAAACCCTTAGTCTTTATGTACCATCATCTCAGTCTGCTTCATATGGTTTTTAACTGAATATAGTAAGTTTCAAAATAGATGCCTCTAAAGTTCACTTAAAATCACAACAACTAAATAGATTACAATGAAGTTTTGCTTTGTCCTCGCTGTTTCCTGTTACTGCAGTTTTATAATTTATAAACATAATTAATTATACTGACATCATGAGGGCTAAAAGAATGCAATGGCTGGGGCATCAAGAGATCACATAGACAAAAAATGTATACATACAAAAAGTAGAATGGGAGTAGATCACGAGGATGTCCAAGAAGAGAGATATTTTAACAGACCTACAAACACTAGGAGTCACCAACTGCATAAAAAGAAGGCCAATCACGGATGAATAGAGAGAGGTGGGTGATATCTACAAAAAGTAACCTTTAGGGCTCGGTATGCTGAAGAAGAAGAATTATACTGAAGGTATTTTTTTTTAAGCAGAGAATTTCTTTGAAGCAGACAATTATTTTGGCCCCACAATATATAATTGAGTGTATATCATGTGGTCTTGCAGTAATGATGTATATTCTACAAACTTTCCACTAGAGTTACTGTAATACTAAGAAAAGATTGTCAAAATTGTTATTCTTCACATTCACCTGCTGTAAACTCCAGCAGAAAGTTCTGGTTTAACCTCCTCTGGAATTTAGACTTGTTCCACTGTATACACCAGCGGTTCACCACTGTATACACCAGCGGTTCACCACTGTATACACCAGCGGTTCACCACTGTATGCACCAGCGGTTCTTCAGTGTATGCACCAGCGGTTCTTCACTGTATACACCAGCGGTTCACCACTGTATGCACCAGCGGTTCTTCAGTGTATGCACCAGCAGTTCTTCACTGTATACACCAGTGGTTCACCACTGTATACACCAGTGGTTCACCACGGTATACTCCAGCGGTTCTCCACTGTATACACCAGTGGTTCACCACTGTATACTCCAGCAGTTCACCACTGTATACTCCAGCGGTTCTTCACTGTATACACCAGCGGTTCACCACTGTATACACCAGTGGTTCACCACTGTATACATCAGCAGTTCACCACTGTATACTCCAGCGGTTCTTCACTGTATACACCAGCGGTTCACCACTGTATACACCAGTGGTTCACCACTGTATACATCAGCAGTTCACCACTGTATACATCAGCAGCTCTTCACTGTATACATCAGCAGCTCTTCACTGTATACATCAGTAGTTCTCCACTGTATACATCAGTAGTTCTCCACTGTATACATCAGCAGTTCTCCACTGTATACACCAGCGGTTCTCCACTGTATACATCAGCGGCTCTTCACTGTATACATCAGCAGCTCTCTACTGTATACATCAGCAGTTCTCCACTGTATACATCAGCAGTTCTCCACTGTATACACCAGCAGTTCTCCACTGTATACATCAGCAGCTCTCCACTGTATACACCAGCTGTTCTCCACTGTATACACCAGCAGTTCTCCACTGTATACACCAGCAGTTCTCCACTGTATACATCAGCAGTTCTCCACTGTATACACCAGTAGTTCTCCAATGTATACACCAACCGTGCTCAACCTGTGGGTTGCCACCTTTTTAGGTCAAATGACCCTTTAACAGGGGTTGCCTAAGACCATGAGAAAACACATATTTATTGTTAGTTATGAAGCAGCAAGGAAAATAATTGTATGTGTGGGGGTCTCCACAACACGAGAATCTGTATTAAAGGGTTGCGGCATTAGGAAGGTCGAGACCCAGGGTAACACTGATTTCTCCGTCCACTTTTCATTCTTTTGTAAAAATTGGCCCTAAATATTTAAATCCACCAACACCTCATACAAATTTTGACATTCAGAATAGCCACATACAACTGTAACTGTTGATTTATAACCAGATGCAAACAATCCACATTATGTGTGCATATCATAAGAAGTCAACTGGAAAATGTGACAAGAGTAAAGCTGAAGCAGGAGAGGCAGGAGAAAGCCAAAGATGCCACAGTTTGCTACTGCTGCATAGAGTAACAGTATTGTAAAACTGTTGGTTACAGTACCTCAGTTTCTCATTGATCTGCCCCACTTCAAGGTAGTCCAGGGGTAGAAAGGTCTCTGGTTCAATTCTCTGCTCTTTCATGTACTGTATGCAGTCTTTGGCAGTTTTCTCAGTGTCGCAAACAATCGAGTCCATATGCTTGCCCAACACTTTGGTGATTGCAACTTGGTACTTCTTATGACTTGGTTCACATAGATCAATGAGGCGACCATGCTGGATTCACAACAGATTGTAAACAGTTTATGACTCTATGTCACATACTTAATTCTTTATATTTCAGGTAAAATCTACATTTTAAAGTTGTTTAAATTAAAAACATTACAGATTACATAACTTAGTAGTGAAGCTAGGATAGTATAGTGGCTAAACTCCCACATCCAGAAAGATTATTTTGTATTTTGACCTTGGTTTACATGGTGTTCAGCCCTCTGTCTCAGACTATCACTTCTGTCCAATAAAGATGCTTTCCAATGCCATAATGTCAAACCTCTGGCTGGGTCTTTCCCTCTCATTTCCATTTCAAATATCCTGCTATTACTGCATTTCTAGCTTACTCCATCCCTTGTACAAAATATGAAATGCCTGTTTTTGATACAACTAACTGGTCTTATTTAAGGTGTTTTCATTATTCATTTTAACTGTTACATTTTTTTCAGGGCACACTTCTAAACAATTCCATCACTACAGCCGATCCATTTTCATCACCGCTCAATAAGCAGACAACAAACAAGCCATCATTTTGCTGACCTAGTCGGAGGTGAATTGTTACGTAATCAGCACGCAGGAAAATGCTAACATTAAATTCTTTTTAAAACTCAGAAAAAGAGCAATTGAAACAATTGAATTGATGCAACAAGTTTATGGAGATAATTAGTTATCTTGTGCACAAATTTTCAGGTGGTATTCATGATTCAAAAGTGGTGTGGAAATGATTACTAATGCACCTAGACCTGGACGCCAAATTTATGTTCGTAATGAAGAACTTATTGCAAAAGTCAGAGAAAGGATACAAGAAGATCATTGTTTTACTGTGAGGATGATGGCAGATGAATCTGGTGTTAATAGAGAGACCATTCATAACATTTAGTGCAAGATTTTTGCAAGAAAGTTGCTTGCCGGTTTGTACCACATTCGTTGTCTGATGACCAAAAACATCAGCGGGTTGAGTACTCAAGACATCATCAAAACAAGAATTTTGGCCCCAAACAAGTGTGTGTTCTCAGCCTTTCACCCTATTCCCCAGATTTGTCTTCCTGTGATTATTTAAAATTTTAAAAATTAAAGTTACGATTGAAAGGACGCTTCTTTAATGATTTTGATGATATCCAAAGGGCGTAACAACGACTTTAAGGGCTATAACAATAGAAGAACTACAGAGGTAATTCCAGTGTTTGTTAGATCATGCCACTTGCTGTATCAATGAACAAGGGGCTTACTTTGAATTAGATACAGGTTATCTTTAACTGTTGATTATTTTAATTTTTATGGAATCAGTCTCAATACTTAATTGTCGGACCTTGTATAATTTCTGTGAAACAGCTCAGTTGTAACATTCATACATCAAATTCCTCAGCTTTATTGGGAATATACAACATAATTAGCTTTCTAAAAACTTGTTAATGTTTTAAAGGAACAATATCACTCAATAAACAATAACTTCAGCAGAAACTAATGAACCTATGATATGGAGACAGTATCTTACCACTCCAGGATACAGCCGCTTGAGAGTATCAATGAGCTCAGCTTTCCTGGTGGCACGGGATGACTCTTGCCTGTCCACCTGGACAATATTGACATCAAAACATGTGAAATCTCATCCAGTATTAACAACATAGAGGCAGTTCTGTAGCAGCTACTGAACTTGGGGAGTTAAAGTGTTAAGCCTTCAAACATTTGAAGCCACAACATATGAGATGGGGTGATTGGTTCTCCGTCTCATCGTGTTCCCTTCACAGACAATCCTGACAATTCACTGGTACCTTTCGTGGGGGCAGGGAAAACCCCAGAGCTGTACTAAATGGAAAAAATACTGCCACTGTTGGGGACTGAGCTGAGGCCGCTGGTTTTACAGGCAAGCACACTAACCCCTATGCCACCATAACTCGCATTCCCAACAGAACAGATTAAAATAGCTGTATGCTTGATTTTTGATTTGCACATGAAAATTTACAGTGGTTAAATAAACTATACACTTCAACACAAAGCACATTACTTCAAACACAATATGTGCTACCTAACATATGTAGTGTAATATTTTAGATAACTAGCCACGCCTTTTACACGATTGAATAGCTTTCAATTATACATGTTAATTATAAATTTGTTTTTTCATTGCTTAATTACAAAATGACCACAAAACTATTGATTCTGGATGTTGTGATGTCAGTGTGCATGATCTTTGTACCCGGAATGCTGTCTGTTTAACTTAGCTTTCTCCTCTTTTAAACAAATGTGTTTCTTGTGGGGTTTTTTTTTAACAGGAGCAGTGGTGCAGTGACTTACAACTTGCCTTTCAGCCTTAACGTCTCAGATTCATCACATCTTCAATGAAGTGATTTCTATAACTCTGCTCACCAACTACCAGAGATTTGACCCGCCCTAAAATGGTTACCAAAAATGTGCTGGGAAGTAAAGGTTGCAGAGCTGTTGACCACATCACACATCAGGAACCACTGGATTGGTCTTTAAAAAACAAAAGCACAAAAAGACAAAAGTCTAGCACTATATGCATGATGTGCCAATGACCAGAAAAGGGTCCTTTTCATTACCTTTTAATTCAAATGCAGAATTTCCTTTATATGGTCGAACACAAAACTAATATCGAACCTGCTGGCAAACACACACACATACCTTGGCTTCCCCCAGCTGAGAAATGATACTCTCCAGCTCCCTGTTGATCTCCTCTATCCTCACAGTTGACTCATTCACTTCCCTGGCTAGCTCCTGCTCCACTTTCTTCTGATCTTCCAGGGCAGCACGGCTTGTTCTACAGAGTAAATGTGTCGTAATATGAGAAACATTTTCATTTAAACATCTGCTGCAATCTACAAACAGCAAACAAGACTACCGGTCACACTTACAGAGGGAACATTAAACATCAGACCTAACAAACATACAGCCAACTAGATCACAATCCTAAGAAACAATCAACCCCCAGTCTCAACAAACATTTAGTAAAGTAAAGCTATGCATCATAGAAACACTGAGTAAACTCAATCATAGATCAAATATTCATACAGCTATAGCTAGCGTAAACTGAACTGCAGGTCATACATAAATTGTCACTAATCTGCTAACTGTCCATGATTCATTTTCATACATTAGGATTAAAATTATATAGCTCGTAAGAACTCTTCTCCGCTGTAATCATCATGTAATTGTTGATTTTAAGCTCTGGTGAAGTATAGGATTTAACCAACTGGTACCAAATGTTTTTGTCTGGACCTTGAAAACAGGAAAACATCAGGAACATCATATGAGTTTCTAATCTTGTAAAAGCTAGGGACACACAATGGACAGATTAATGAAAGAAATCAATCGCCAATAAGAAATGATTACTGCATCAGAATTAGACACCTGCATTCTTTGAGGAAATTGTGAGAAAAATAAAATGAGTGTATCGTGACAGTGGAAAAGTCAAAGAGGAAAATACGCAGAGAAAGATCTGTGTCAGAGAAAATACATGAGACAGAAGGCTGTGGACAGACATGACTACTAATGCCATATGGGATGGAGAATACGAAGGGGAAGAAGGAGACAGCAAGGAGCAGAGCAAAGGAGAAGGAATAAGACAAGAAATAATATTTACGTGATATAATCCTCTAGTTTAGCAACTCGGTTTTTGTTTTCCTCCAACTCATGCTGTTTCTGTTTGAGTTTAGCCTCATATGTTGCAATGTCTCTCAGACAATTGTCAAGTCTGTCTTGATCCATTTTCTGATCTCGGATGATAGCATCTAGCTCCTGCATGTATTCGGCTGCTCTTCTGCCTGCCTCTTCTTTTAGTCTATTGTACTGTTGAACCTACATTGAGAGAGTGAAGACACAATTATTATATAAAATTATGAAAACGCTTTTGCTTTCATTACGAGCTGCGATTATTTGTTACCATAAAACACAAAGCAGCATGTTCATAAACCTGGTTTTCACTATCACCGATATAGAGAACATATGCGCACATAAATACCAGTTAACACCATTACTAACTTTCTGAGGTCCGACCAAGGCTGTGAGTGTTGACTGAGAAGTTCCAATTTGCCAAACAACACTGTCTGCATCGATTGTGTATCTCTTACATACTGACTCGCAGATGGCTCTGTATTCATTTCTAATGTTTAGAACTACCATTTAAGTATTCAGGAAAGGTTACTCAACTTTTTTCATTTTAAACAAGTCTATGTTCACACACAGCTGGGTGCAAACTGATCCAATTCATTGCTAGCGTGATTTTCAGACTGCACTTTCCAATTTCATGTTCAAGTGTCCATGGTTACCAACAAGCACAGGCCAAACAATGTGCCTTTCTTTGGCTGAAGCTCTGAAATTGTTTCATTTAGATGTTTCTAAAAATAAAACATTGACAATTTTTGGAAAGTAATTCGGAAGTTATTTGGTAAATTTACACCAGTGGTCAGCTGTTTGTGCTGATGAGGTAAATCCAGGAGAACCCATTTCAGATAAAGGATGTGATAGCCACCCACATTTGCATCAAAAGGACTGTTTCAGAGAGTACCATACTCATACTATGGCTAAGCTGCATTGAAATTGTTGCAGCTACAGTGTGTATATAATTACAAAATTAACATTTTGTGTGTATAGGACTACAAATCCCATTTTCTGCCATTTTTTTCTTTGAAATTTTGTTCAAAACTCTGTGAGAACCTGGAGCCTCTGAGTGATTAACCCAGATATGTATCAGAACTTTTAATGTGTTAGGAAACTGAAAGAACTTAAAAGCATTATTATCAAATTTGGATATTCACTGCTCTTGTGGCTGCAAAACCATGGTAAGTGAAGATTTTTGGGGGTAAACTTTTGTCATTCTTAACACAACACCTGCTGAATTATTTTTTTTCTACTAACTATAACAGTATGAAACAAAAACACAGATTAAAAATATACATTCATTTTTCTTTAAAAGAAAATATATACTTTTACCGGGATTTGAAATATATTACATTCTAAATTGCCTTTGGTTTGTTTGTTTTTTTAACCACCACCTCTGCCATTTTTGTAAAGGGAAATTAATGTGAACCAAGCCTGCCAAATTTCATAGGCCTGAAAGAGTTAAGACACACAAATATAACTATGCCTGCACAGCAAGAGATTAAACATAACACATGCAAAACAATTCTATGCTACCAGTGAAACACTTGGATGCTATCCATACATACAAATTCAGACATATCAAATGAACACTTGTGAGATGAGATGTAAGAGGAAAGCCAGCTGAGAGAAATTACGAAAGTTAACTGTCATGTTAGAGTCTCAAAAAGAACAGATTACACAATGTAAGATTCAGGTAAATGAGAAAAATTCTGGAACTGGTGAATCAGTATCACTATCTTGCAACCATCTGTCAAAAGATGCATGCAGAGAATTGTCACAGCAAAAGTAACCTTGTGCATGATGAAAAATACACTGAAACAACAAACTAAAGATGTCAACTGCAGTAAGACGGGCTATAAAAGTGTCACTCAGAGCAGGGACAATAAGCAGACAAGTTAAAAACACTTGATAAAAGCAGAAATGTGTCAGAGGAAAATGGAAAAATGAATGGATAGAAATGTTACTGAGGACATCCTTCAAGAAACAGGTGAAAAATGTCAACTATAGAAATTAAACTAGATCAAGACTGATTGGGGAAATAAGCTTAAACTCAGTGACAACTGGCAAACTTGTTGGGAAAAAGAGCAAGAGAGCGACACAGATGAAAACCTACATGGCGTGACCACACAACAAAAGGAAGAAAAAAACAGAGACCTGATATACCAACATGGCGTGACCACACAACAAAAGGAAGAAAAAACATAGACCTGATATAAGGCACTCGTGATTATGTGAGAAAATATACCAGGATCAACTATTAGCCTGGCACATGATGATAATGAAAGTCTAAACAAAAATGTCACAAGGTAAAGTAGCATACCTGACTCTCTTCCAGCTGCAGTGACCTCCCCTGGGACTGGGACTCCTCCTCCAGCTCAGCTTCAAAAGCTTGCTGCTTGTGCATGACCTCATCCAGTTGTTCCTGGATTTCTGCCACCTGATTGATAACCGCAGACAAATGTTAGTCAAGTATGCAACTCCTGCAGGCTTTTAAAATCATAATATTGTCATGGTTATAGGGGACTCATTCTGAAACATCTATCTTATGTCTTGACAATTTAATGTTGAATAAGAGAATGGATTAGAGCTGCTATAAGTTAAGGGTTACTGCTGTACCGCCATCATTGTTTCTGTCAATAACAAAAAATACAACCCTACACTGCAGTCTGTGACAAAAATACACCAGGCACGCATCATTAAATCCTCAGGTTTAAGTCCCTGTCCTACACGACCCTAACAGGTGTTAAATACAGGCTGAATAAATATAGATTTTTTTTTTTTTAAAAGAATGTTTTCTCTTTTAATATGGTATATTTTATATGGTATATGTCTGTATATTTTACTTGTATTTTACATGTCCCTTTTTTAATTTTCTTTCAATATCTCTTTTCATTCCCGCCTTTAAAAAAAAATAATCTATGTTTGTTTCTATTAAATATGGACTATTTCTTATTCATATTTCCAGAACCTCCATTAAAATTCAGGTATCAATAATTTTCTTGTTGGCATAAACCAAATGTAAACCCCAGCAGAAAGTTCTGGTAGTTTGTCCATTTCTGGACTGGCCTTGCTCTGCTTTATTTCTGAGGGTTTCAGTGCAAAGACATTCGAATTATATTGCTATCAGCTTTTCTCAGCTTGTGTCCTACCCAATGCCTGCATCTCTTACTCACCTCTCAATTTACTGGAAATGGTTATTTCTCTCCCAAAGCTGGGGGCAGCATCAAACTGTCATACAAGCGTAACAGCCACTGATCAAAGATATCATGTCGACCAAAACCCATAAAAGCCAAAAACCGCTTTGTCATGACAAAAGGGTTTAGGTATGCAGTTACTTTTATCTTAAATGCAAAACTAAGAGCATTTCTCCTGATCACATGAACCACTAAACTGTTTGTGATAAAACATCATTAACCAATTGTGATTAAATAAGAGAGACTCCACTTACGGTCTGATTGTGGTTCTCATGTTTCTTGATAGCTTGCTTTAGAGACTTCCTAGACAGACAAACATCAAAATGAACTATCAATGTAAACATTATTATATAAAATGAAAAAATGTCAACATTATCATAAAAAATGAAACATTTTTTTTTTTTTTTTTTAGCTTTTTAAGTTTATCCAAACATTTGTGCTTGCAAATTCTGATACCATTTCAATTTATCTCTGATAATATCACTCCAGTCTACAACATTTAGTTCCTTTGCCCTCACTATCCCTGTATCTTCTTCATAAGCACTGTTTTAGTGGTGTGCATTGAATTCTTTGGTATACGCCTTATGATTTTTATACTGACAAAGACTTTCAGTATTATTCTAATATGAATACTGCCCATGAATATAATTCTTATAAAAACAATTACCATACAACAACAAAACTAACAAAAAAAATGGCAATTACAAAAGATAAAAGACATAAACCTTACTTTGCAGCATCCAGTTTTTTGGTCATATGTGAAGTCTGCTCTTTAGCTTTGATGTACTGTGGTCTTTTTTTATTCAAAGCTGTTTCCTGTAATTGAAAAAAAAATGAGTTCTTTCCTGAAGGAAAAATGAGGAAGAGAACTGACCACCTCATCTAATACACCACTTGTCTCCCCACCCAGTAGCCCCTCCATGGGCCTTCAACCCTCCGTCTAGAAACCATCAGGGTGTGCTAAACTGGTACTGAAACTTCCCACCTTTCGAGACGTAAATTAGGATGTAGGCAGGCCATGACTGAGCACAGAACAAATAGACTAGTTGGTATAAAGACTTAGCTCGGTCCTACGCCCAGCGAGAACAATATGGTACCTGATTGTCTCTGGTGTAGTTTAAATAACAGACTAGGCTTCAATCTCAATATATGCATGCACGCACACAATTTGTCTCCTGTTCGGTGATAAAGACAGCCTGCTTCTGTTGATGGTAAGTATTGCTTTCTTCTGGTAAATATATCCTCCTTCTGTTGATGGTGAATATATCATCCTCTCTATGGTGCTGATACATGTTTCTTCTAGTACTAATACATCCTCTCTATGGTGCTGATACATGTTTCTTATAGTACTAATACATCCTCTCTATGGTGCTAATAAATCTTTATTCTAGTACTAATACATCCTCTCTCTGGTGATAATAAATCTTCATTCTAGTTCTAATACATCCTCTCTCTTGTGATAATAAATCTTTATTCTAGTACTAATACATCCTCTCTCTGGTGATAATAAATCTTTATTCTAGTACTAATACATCCTCTCTCTGGTGATAATAAATCTTCATTCTAGTTCTAATACATCCTCTCTCTGGTGATAATAAATCTTTATTCTAGTACTAATACATCCTCTCTCTGGTGATAATAAATCTTTATTCTAGTACTAATAAATCCTCTCTCTGGTGATAATAAATCTTCATTCTAGTTCTAATACATCCTCTCTGTGGTGCTAATAAATCTTTATTCTAGTTTAAATACATCCTCTCTGTGGTGCTAATACATCTTCATTCTAGTTCTAATTCATCCTCTCTGTGGTAATAATAAATCTTTATTCTAGTACTAATAAATCCTCTCTCTGGTGATAATAAATCTTCATTCTAGTTTTAATACATCCTCTCTTTGGTGATAATAAATCTTCATTCTAGTTCTAATACATCCTCTCTGTGGTGCTAAAAAATCTTCATTCTATTTCTAATACATTCTCTCTGTGGTGATAATACATCTTTCTTCAAGTTGTAATGCATCCTCTCTCTGGTGCTAACAAATACCATTTTATTTTGTTGCTTATATACATTTGTATAACAGTAATAAGAAGCAGTTACATTTGTTTTTAATTAAATATACTTACAGACTCTTTAATCTGTTGATCAAGTTTTGCCAATTCTCTGCTGATGGTTCCTTGTTCTTTTTTCTTTTCTTTGATTTCAGCCTCAATCTTCTCTCGCCGTTTGTTTTCCTTTTCCAAAATCCTATTCTTCTTTGACAGTTCATCAGTAATTTCTTCAATCTCTCGTTCATTGTGAAACAGTTTGAACAGAGCCAGCTCCAGCTGTTTCTCAACCTGTGAAGGCAATAGAGACATTTGTTTCAGCTGAATTACGAACAGTTGCAGGCACAACTAAGGTAGTCGACCACACCCAGTACCAGGCATGTCATGGAATGACAATTAAATGCATTAGAAAACAGATACCTGAGGAAACAGGTGAACTCTGGCAGGACATCTTTTTTGTTTATCTATTTAGACTGTGGCGTTGTGCTCGGACCCGAGCTTTTCGTGTACATCCGTTTTACCGGCTTATTTGTTTGCAGTATGTTATTCCTTACCTGTTGGGCAGATGCAATCTGACTTTAAAGGAAGATGAACATTGAACGGGATCAATTCAAGAGAGGGGGGAAAAAATGAGAAACATCTGGACAATCACCAGTATTGACAGTTTTAAGACAAAGAAGATAGTACTATGCAGGAAAAAATCCTGAGAAGTAAGGAGAGAATCACTAAAACAGGTACTCAAATGGGAAATTGGTGAATTGAGGACATCCAAGAAAAACCCTGAAATAACGTAGCTGAGAGAAGCTGAAAGTATATACTAGATTCTGCCAATTACTGCGTATATTTTAATACTTTTGCTGTGTAGGCTGGGTTTTTTTTTAGCCTGAGGATTCATATACTGGATTCAATCCATGATATCAAAAAAATTGCACAAATTACAAGAGATTTAGGGCCCAATGAATTGTAAAGCGGCCACATTCTGTGTAGGTTAGATTGCTACTTTTGAAAAAAATGTCAATCACCCTATTAGGATGTGAAACCAGCATTCTAACCGCCTGGTATATATTTGTAAAAATCTTCTGTACACTTCTGTCCCCTTTATTCTGTTCTATTTATCTACTGTTTTAATTAAATTTGATTTTTACGTCTAGTACATTCAGGAACCACTATAGCAAAAAGCTAGATGCTCCTTTGCTATTTTTTTTTTTAACCGACATTGGTTGCCAGGTTGGCCCAGTGCAAAATGGGTACCTGGTAAAGTCCTGGGAAGTAAAGACGACTGGCAAGATGCTGACCACATCTCCTACCTAGTGCCGATTGGTTTATAAAATCAACATCTAGCACTACATACCCAATATGCGTAAAGGTGTGGAAAAGGGCCCTTTACGTTTTACTAGTGTTTTCGATTTTTATTTCTTTCACAGATATCTACTGCCAATCTTTTTATCATGATAATCCAATAGTCTCAAGGATTTTGCAGCTATTTATTCACAAAATAATTGTTTGCTGATGCAAGCTGATTAAAGGCCTGAAGGCAAGAGTAGAAAACCTTACCAAATATTATTTTTTAATTTTCCTAATGTGATTTCTTACAACAATCTGGTCTTGACATAAACAATGGAGGATCTATAATTTTACATGAACATGTCTGAGGTCTCTCAAAGATATTACATTTTCAAGGGCTTTGAGGACACCATTTTTAATTGAGGTTACAGAAACTCATACATGCAAGAAGCCAATCAAAACAAAACACTGAAAATATTAGTACAGAAGACTACTTGCCAATTGTTCTGTTAATCTCTGGTAGCGCTCTGCTTCTTCCTTTTCCAGCCGTGCCTCCTTTCTCTCTGCTGCAATGCCCTTTTTCTTGTTCAGGTTAAACTGAGTGTCCTCTTCTGCTTTCAACATTTCAGCTTTAGCTCTTTCATATTCCTCTTTCATTTCACCAGACCTTTCAAACAGAAAAGGAAAACAGTAAACAAGCCTGAATAAACAGAAAGAATTAAAATTAAATGACAAAGTCTAGAAATAAATCTTCTTGTACCGCTTCTGATGTCAATATTAATACAGGGTTTGGTTCTCACTCTTCTGGCTGCCTAGACACTGTTATAGTTTTTCTAATGTAATCTTTCAACTTTGTTCTTGCTAACAATGGGTCATGCCCATTTCCTTTTTTAGTAAATGCCTTTTGTAGCATGGCATCACAATATCAAATACAAAGAATAAACTTTGAAACTGCTAATACAAATAAAATGATCCAAACTGTACTACAGGTTCTTCCAAAAACATGAGGAAATCATTACAATTTGTTTAATTGTCTGAGAGACAGTGATAATGGCACTGATGTGCTTCTAAAGTGATGGTTTCACATTTATTTTACATAACGGCATCCATAGATGTGTCCAGTGCTGTCAAAGCTGGCAGTTCTATCATGAGTGCACATGAATGCAGTTAAAAGCTGATTAAAAGAATATTTAGACAAACTACTGACCTTCCAGAAATTGGTTGTCCACTTAAAAGTATTCCAGAACAAACCCCATGGAGAGAAAAATGCAAACTTACATTACAAATCCAGACAAATGTAAAAGGAATATTTGACCAAAAAAAAGCAAGAGTGTACACTGCAGAATGGCCACATAATGATGAAGAATACCCACAAGAACAATGGGTCCGAGTCTATACAGATGGGTCCTCACAAAGTGCAGTTAGAAATGGTGATGCTGGAGTGTACATAGAATTCCCAGATGGTACTGGGGATAAGTCCAGCATACCAACCGGGAAGTGCTGCCATAACTATGACGCAGAAGCTCAGGCTATCAAGATAGCAACAGAGAAACTGCTAAATACTAATCTTGGCTCATAGTACGTGGTAATGCTGACAGATGCAAGCACTCCAGTCTAGGAAACTACCAGAATTGCAAACACCACTGACACAAATCCTTCAGGGAAGAGTCGTAATGCAGTGTATACCGTCTCATTATGGAGAGCCTGGAAATGAGAAAGCTGATCAACTGACAGGGGAAGGTGCGACAAAAGTGCAGCCAGATGTACCAGTCACATACCACCAAAAGAAAAGAATCACTAAATCGATCAGGAAACCACCAGTCCCAGCACAAGATGACTATTTTATTATGGATAGATCAGAACAAGTAATTATCCTCCGCCTCAGAACAGGGCACAACTGATTATGTAACCACATGTACACAAAATTCAAGATAGGCGTATCAGCCATGTGCACCTGTGGAAAGGTGTCCCAGACAGCAGAGCATGTACTCTGGGACTGCAACAAATTTGACAAATTTAAGGCAAACCTTTTGGCCAGAAAGAACAACAGTGGAACGTAAACTTTGTGGACCACTGAATGAACTAACAATGACAGTGAAATTTATTCAAGAGACAAAATTGCTGATATAGACAACTTATTTCAGGCAAACGAAAGAAGAAGAGGAAAAGTTTGAAGGCAAGAGCAGAAAATCTTTTGAAATGCAGTACATTTAAATTTTTTTTTTCAAACAATGGAGCTCAATATACTTTATGACGTATTAATAAAACATCTAGTTAGTTCAAATTTTGTGTAAGGCAGGCTTAAGAAGGCCACAGGCCAGAAAAGACTAACATCAAGTTAGCGTGACAATCGTGCAGCACAAGAATAACTGAGGGATGTTGGATAATGTGCTGCAAGTGAAGGGATGATTAGAAGGATGAGAGGACTAAGGATCATTCTGTGTTTGGCACTTAAACAAGTTTAGAAGTAAAGTGTGTGTGTACCAGCAAGCTGAATCAAGTCAAACAGCCTATAGCAAAGTGTATCTGGCAATGTGATAGACAACATAATGGCAGGTGGTGAATGTAATCAACAGATGAATGCTGTGTGTGAAAGGAGACATCTGTTGATAAAAGAATCCATACTGTAACAGTATGAATATTGATGTACGAAGACGAGTTGAGAGCTTATTTTCCAACCCTACACAGACAAAAATTATGGAAAGTAAAGGCTCAATATGGAGTAAGTAAACACCTCACTGAAATTTGTTTGCAAAAGCTTACAGAGAAATTGTAGAAGCGAAGTTGGAATAAATCAGGGAACATATGAACCATTCAAAGTAACATATGGAGTAAGACAGGGTTGTGTCTATCACTACTCCCATTTATCACCTACATTGACAATATAAGCAAACATGGCAAGCCCAGGAATGAAAATAATAGTACCATCAAGGATTTACTCTTTGCTGATGACCATCCTTTGTTGATCTTTGCAGTCATATTTTACATTTTGTCCTTTACATAAAAATAACAGTACATCTAATCTCAAATTTCACAAGTAACAAAGGTCAATGTAGTTTTGAATTCAGAAGCATATGTAAGAAAAAATTATAAGATGCACGAACCATTTGCTCTTCCATTTCTACATATATTTTTCACAACATTCTGTTCTAGCAATGTCAGATTATATCATTGTTGTCAGGTTTAAGATGGTTAATTTGAGGTTTTCTCAAGTAGAGTAAGGATGCCATATGTACATTATTGCAAAACTTACTTGCAAATATCTTCAAACATGGCGGTTCTTTCCTTGGCGTTCTTCATCGCAATACTCTCAACAGTCCCTTGAAACACCAGGAAGTTTTTGGCTTTGATAAGAACACCAATTCTTTCTAAAGCCTCTGTATACTGGAGAGCTGTTACAGTCTAAAGAAATATTATATCAGATTAGCACAAAGTCTCAGTGAGCTAAACAGACTGAGGAAGAGGAACAGAGCAGAGACCATTCTTGACAAGGTTTCACAGTAGTTGGAAACAGTTAGAAATAAATACTAAACTTTGACAACAATTAAATGTGAGATGGCAAAATGACTGTGGCAAAATAAAAACACAGATAAGCAACATTCCATAAATACTTCACTGCTGCTTTCAATAAAATAAGATTTTTCCCTCTGGAAGTGTTAACAGTGTCAGACACATACTACAAATGATAACATGGTCCATTTTGTGAACATATTGCCAATCAAAACTGATACAGGTACAAATTACTTCATAAAAATAAACATTTCTCAAGTTAGGTTTAAAAGCTTGATCTTTTTTACCCACAAAACAGCAAGATTAAAACAAGGTTACAGTGATTTTATTGCATCAATTGAAGTATACAAGTTGGGGGACTATGACTTCAACAGGTTATCTCCACAATCAAGCTTTAATTGCAAAGGTCCATAAAAACTTGCAGTCTTAAACTCTGATTGTGCCCTGCTGTTCACACATCTCTTAAAAATAGTATCCAAGTTCATTAATCACTACTCTTGTTCAAAATCATTTGACCTTTTCCTTGTAAAAGCATCATATTTATTTATTATGCAGTCAAGATAATTCATCATTTCATGTTTTACATTCATTTCACCAGCACTTTTTAATTTATAGTTTCTCTAGGACCTTTGGGGGTATCTCTGTGGTGCAGTGGTCAAGCCAACTGTCTCACGCTCTGAAGGTCCTGGGTTCATTTCACAGCTGCGTCGTTCAGTTGATGCATGCTATTTTTCGGAGATCTCTGGAAACCGTTGCCGGAACCTCAGAGTTCATGCTTTGTGCGATGCTCTCCGCAAGCAGCTAGCCGTTCTGTGGAGGGAGACCAAGCCATATAGAATGCCCCGTGCAATGGTCGATCCTCTCTCGACTAACCTTTATGTGGTCCTTATACCATTAGGACCTCTTAGAGAAAGACCTCTGAGAAAATATTCTATTTTCAAAAACAGAAACAGTATATTTCACTAACATGGCCATCAATCCTATACTCAGATGTGTTGTTGATGATCATTCTCTGAAAGTTTATCTCCCTGCCAGTGTCCTCTTCCACATAAACAGCAGTCACAGAAGCTCTGGTGGATGCAGGTTTGCCTATTGGTGCTCCATGTATCAGATCCTGCATGAAATTGACATTTTATCACGTTAGTGAATATATAACCAACAGAGATGAGGCTTATTACACATTTTTGAAAACAGTCCTACGGTGAATATCTGGACCCATCAAAGATGCAAACAGTGAGAAATAATAACAGAAGCAACAATAAATTCATTTTCTGTTTAAATCACCATTGATCACTGGCATCATGAGGGCCAATAGACTGAAATAGCTGGGGCATGTTGAGAGAATGTCAGACGGCAGAGAGGTAAAAACTGTGTACACAATGAAGTTGAATGGTGGCCGACCACAAAGTAGACCAAGAAGAGGATGGACAGATAATATACAGGCAGACCTACAAACATCTGGTGTCACCAACTAAAAAGAAGACAATCAAGAGAGATGATGGAGGTGGGTGGCATCTGTAGCAATGAACCTAAAGGGATGCAGAAGAAGATGTAGAAGAAGAAGAAAGTGTATATATGAAAACATTTTATTACAAACAAATAATCGTACATAAGACTATGAAATGTGTATGTGCCTAATGCTGAAGAACTGAATTTATAATAAAAATATAAACTGACAGCAAGCTTCTTACAATAAACGAGCACATAGAATTGATCATTCAAGTATGAGGTGGGTTAAGAACTGATCTCAGGGCATTTTATCAATGTTAGGCTGGTACTCTTGCGGTGTACTCTTCTAGATGGACACTAGTTTTAACTGTTTCAATGCTGGGGCTTGCTTCTATGTAATTATGTTATATCTACTCCTTCTTAATGTTCACCTGCTGTAACTTTTGGCTGCAAGTTCTGGAGCTTGAATGTCGTGTGCACATCCATTCTACAGATCTAGCTTATTTATATGCAGACTGTTGATTCCTGGCCTCAGGTCGATGCCCTCCAACTTCCAAGGAAAAATCCCTAGTTAGTCCACTTTTATGACATGCTTGTTTGGGGGGGGCAGTAGATCTATACCCCCACCCCTTAAAATCCTGTTCAATTATAGGACGCAATTTTTGTGTCATTCTAAAGCTCTACCCTGTATGTCATCTGGAACTCTAAATCTTCTTTTTCTCCTCTTTCGTTCACTTGAAATAAATTATCTATATCTGCAATGTTGTCTCTAGTATAAACTTCACTGTCTTTTGTAATTCACTAAGCAGCCCGTAAAGTTTGACGTCCACAAGTGTTTCTTTTGGCCAGACTTGCTCTGGTCTGTCCATAATATGGTAAGGGACTCTAAATATAACCCACAGGTTGAACAGGGTTTCTGAGACTTGTGCCTGGGTGATTCTCACCCCTATAGTGGCACTCTGTGTCACCGGGTGTTTATCGCTCGTTGTGCTGTCCTGGTAGGGTTGAAAGTCATTGAGTCAGTTCCCACACCCAAGCCAGCGGGCCAGCAAACTCACATGGAAAATGTCTTCTAATAAGAATCAACAATCCCACATTCAAACCTGGAACATGAAAACATGCAACTGCCTGACAGGTAATGAGATGAGAAATAAGACTTGCTTAAACTAGCAGAGAAGACAAATCCAAATACATAAAACATAACAAATTCACCAAAAGAAAATGCTACAGATACAGAGGCTTGTAACAATACAATTTCAGAAATTAGGCCACGAATACACATAACAATGATAGCACTATCTTAATTTCATTCTTACCCCAAGACGTTTAGATCGCAGATTTGATGTTTTCTCACCCATAACAAAGCTGATGGCGTCCATCAAATTTGATTTGCCTGAATCAAGAAAAAGGTTATGCAAAATTAGGTGGTTTTTTTTTTTTTACAAACTTACTAGCCACTGATTTTTTGCTAAAAATTATCTGCTTCACTCCCTGTGGGGGTTCCGGGGCCCCATTGGGAAGAAAACAAGAACAGACCCACTGCCTCCCCAACAAGCATATTATTAAGAGTTGACTAATTGGGGCTTTCTTTCGAAGTCAGACGGCATCTGCCCAAGCAGCAAGAAACAACCAATTGTGTTCAATTAAGCCAGCAAAATGCATGTGAATGCAAAACTCAGGCTCTGGCACACAGAAAACATCCAAACGGAGAACAACCAGGACTTTCCATCGCAGTTTACAGTGAACAAAGAAGAAGAAAGAAGTTCTGCTTCAGGACTTTTAAAATGAGTGACGGCCCTTCTTTTAATTTGAAATTCATAGCTACCAATGTGTTTGTTGAGTGATGATACAGTGAACTTCATCATTTGTGATGTGGTCTGTTTGATATACCCAAGATCTGTTACTGACAAACCACTGAATATTAAGATGCATGGTAACACCCCCCCCCCCCCAAAACCCATCATGTTTTCATATCAGAACTATGTTTTTCTTTTTACTTCAAAGTACCTACTTTAATGTAGTGACTTGAATATGTTAGAGTTGTATATGATTCTATAATTTATATTCACAATTATTTTCCTTTTTCTTCCTCAAAAAGTGGAAATAATTTTGGTAAGAAGCAAACTGTTGTCAGTCCTAGGTTGAACGCAGATGTTTCCATAATTTCCTAAATTCTTTTAGCTTAACATTATTAATAACAAAATTAAAATAGCCAACAAACAAAAAACATAATGTGTGGCTTAGGGTTTGTGAACAATTTCACAATTCTGAAATATACCAGGGTCAGAAATCAGCTATAAACAATGTGGAAGCAGCCATTTTGTGTTGATTTGGATGAAAGTCTGAGGGTCATAGCTCTCATAAAATAAAGACAAATAATTTAAATAAATGCTGATGTAGGCTGCGGCATCCCGAAGAGGACAATTCGATAAACTTTTAAACCAAACACAAGTCACTTGGGACATACTTCAAGCAGTCTAGTCACTGACAACCACGAACTTCTACCGGTATATTTTCTCACAGCTACCACATTTCTTACAAGACGGGTGAGATCCAGTCCCAACTATTTCCAGTGGTCTGTATCTGGACATTCCTCAGAATTTTAGTAATCAATAAATAGCATTTTCTGTAATGGAATATTTACTTTCTAAATCCTCATTACTGGGGGTTTTAAGAAAATGATTATTATATTTAATGATACAGTGTGTACAGTTGCTCTGTTTCAATTTTAATCAGATATTTGGATTCTGCAAATTATCTGCTTCATGTACTGCATTTAATTTGTGCTGGTATCTTTAAACTGATGTCATAAGCCTGTAAATTTTTTTTGGTATCCCATGTTAATGATGTTTACCATCTATTTTCAATGGCAGAATCACAAATTTTAAGGGAAAAAATCACTATGAATGAAGAGCACAGAGCACTATCAGGTAGTGGCAGCATGTGGGGCCAGATCAGCAGCTGCTATTTAATAGACAAACAGCAGAAAGGCAGTTAACTAATTGACCCAACTTATGAGACTCTAATTCCCTGAAAACTGTCTGAGAATTATTATGTGCCAAGATTGACCGTAACAGTCACCTACATAAGATCAATCTCTCTCCACTCAGCAGATGAAAGGACTGATCATCATCACTTGTGATGGACAAACAACAACAGCAATAATGTGGTTAACACTAACATGTGGGGACATTTAGCTAGCTCTTATGAGTGTGAAGATCTATCTGTACGGGTCTAATCTGTATGTGCCAGTCACCCGTGAGGTGAACAAAAATTGGTGTCTGTTTTAAGAACATCTTGTGTGTGTTACTGTGAATCCAATCAATCCTAAGGTGAAAACAGTATCAGTTTAAAAACACTCTGTACTACTATTAGTGCCCGCCATCCTTAAATGGAAATAATTTGGTTTTAAGAACACCTTGTGTTACTATGAGTGCCAGTCAGTCAAAGGTGAAAATAATGACATTTTAAGAACATCTTGTGTGTGTTACTATGAGCGCCAGCCAGCCTAAGGTAAAATTAGTGACATTTTAAGATCACCAGGGAATTCTCTTCAGAAAGCTAAACCATTTCATCAGTTGTTATTTAATAACTGTAGGACTGATTATTTTCATATTATATTTCTCATGCTTGGTTGGTACTGATTTAAGATGGTGAACGTAAGTCTCAAAAGGGCAACAAGAAATGTGTTGGCAAGTAAGTTTGAATTGGCAGATGATAATAACTGCCATCAAAACCCAATCAATCAAAAATATGAGAAGAGCACCAAATACCTAAATGCTTCAAGGTGGCATTTGGGAATTCCAGACTTGTCCCAGGAATCACATATGGACAAATCCTGCAAACAGGTCTGTGGCATAAGACCGTTCTGAAGTGGGACTAGAATGCCTTTGAGGTTACGGTCATGTCTGTAGGCCACTAAAGGAAGTTCAGAGAAAATCTTGCTGGTGACAGGGTCAGCCCTAAGGATGGAGAGATGCTTAAGGAGAATATTTTTGGCCCGGATGTTATGAGGGTGGTAGGTAAGTATGAAAATAGGTCTGTTTTGGTGATGTTTAGGTTTGGAAACGAGAGCCTCAGCAAGATGGATAGACCGTGCTCCATGAAAAGTGACAGATAAGACATGTTCAGGATACCCTTGAAGCCAGAAGAAGTCCAGCATTTCCAGAGACTTGTGAAAGTCGTCGTTCTCCTGGCATAGTCTGCGGAAGTGTAGAAGCCTGGAGAAAGGAATGGAGTCCTTGCAGGAAGAGGGATGGGAAGACGTGTAGGGAAGAAAGGCGTGAGAATCTGTAGGCTTATAGTACACCGAGGCCCTGAGGCCTTTAGAGTCCAGGGTGATAGTGAGATCCAGAAAATGCACCCACAAAGGTGAGATGCTAGAAGTGCATCGGATACAGGGATGGAAGTGGTCGAAGAAATGGATGAAGTTCTGCAGTTCCAGTAGGTGTATATCAGTGACACTGATGCCATCATTTGATATACCTCCTGTAGAGCTCAGGGAAGATGTGGTACCTAGAAGAAAAGGTGAACCAGATCGAGTGAAGGACAGAGATAGCATGAATTTATGTTGTTAGCCTTCTGTATTAGTAGCTGAAGATGCAGAAGACCTACAACAAATATTAGACATTGTGGTACTACAGAGCGCAAGAAAGAATTTGGGGATATTTATAACTTCAGATGGATGATATGTGACAGAACTGACCAGGCAAAGGCAGCCTTTGCAGGCAACTCTAATGTGGTTCTTGGGAAGATGTTGTGAACATCTTGGCAGCCAGAATAACTAACAATGACTTCCTGCAAATGGTTAATGAAAGTAAAAAATTATATACAACAATGAGAAGGAGACAAAGTTCTTTGGTCATGTGATGAGAAAAGGAGCACTGGAAAATATTGTGACGACTGGAAAGATCACCGGTAGAAGAGGCAGACCAAGAGAAATGATGGTGGATGGCACAACGGAATATCATCAGCAGAATTGATGCAGAAACCAAAGACCGAGATCTGTGGAGATGCATGAACGCCTACACAAGCTGGCAAGGCACTTAATGATGATGACGAGCCTTCTGTATTCTGTTTATTTCTATCCAATCCTTTATCCTCTGTGAATATATTGCCTAGGTACTCCTTAGCCTGTTTTAGTGTCTCTCCTTCAACAGTGATGATATTTGAATCTGGACATTCTGTGTGTTTTTTGCTGGCACAGGAGCGGAGCGTTTCAGCTTCCCAGAAAACAGATAACCTCTTGTTGCTCTGCTTCTGTGCCAACAAAAGACACAGAATGTCCATCATTGTCCCTTGTGGAAACACCGACACATAATACAGTATTAGCACATCCACTAGCAGATGCATGCATTAAAAGAATACGACAGCCATCAGAAGTGCTAACACGAACAGTCTAAGGATAGAAATGCTGTTTATCACTGACCAAACCAGCAGTTACAAACAGATGAGCAGTTGAACATGCAATCAATTTTAATTATATAAGGCACAACCAATGATGTGGCAAAAGGCCATGTGTCATTATCTGAATTTACAGGTCACAATACCACATTGGTCAGTCGAAAAATATTGCAAATGAAATCCACAGCTCAAATGTCACGCCACACACTCAGCTCAGTAGCTGGGCAACAAAACTATAACTTTTCAGCCTACAAATGGGGGAAAATGCAACGGCCACCATCTGTCAGAAGCCAAACCTTGCCACAACAACAAAAACATAGACTGTACCTCTCATCCATTTTTGTTCAGTATATTTATTGTCATAGTATATTTCTTGCAACAATGTTGGAGCTATTTATGTGGTGTTGGAGGTTCAACTCATTTATACTATACCTCGCTGAAGGTTTGCTTTTTTAGCTATCTTATCCACATATATAATAAAAATAAACACACCTGGTTATAGTATAACTTATACCCCAGTTGAAACTTGGAACCCATCTGTCATGCCTACAACAGCTGTTCTTACACAGCCTCTTGGGTTGTGCAATACATACATAGCTGTGATGTTGTCTCTAACAACTGTCCATTTACACTCAAAAGCAAGACCAATGAAAGCCACACTTGTCTCAGTGAAAAAAAATAGCATCAGTGCATCCCCTCCTTATCTAAAGCCAAACTGCAAATTATTTTATATTTATATTAAAATGTGACCAATAATTTATAAACTGCAATGAATGCCAATCAATACAATTCAATAGTAAACTAAACACAATAATATAATAATAATATTAATTTAATTAATTATTAATTAATTAAAATAAATTAGTTATTTAATAGTTTAACTAGTACTTTTTTTAACGTAACGTAACATTGTTCACACTTCGCTTTTAATTTTAAGTTTCACTGTGACAGCTTTATTTTTATTCAACAAATTTTATATCATTTTTTAGA